TGTGTGTGTGTGTGTGTGTGTGTGTGTGTGTGTGTGTGTGTGTGTGTGTGTGTGTGTGTGTGTGTGTGTGGCTGGCAGGCGCAGTTAATTGTACGGCCCACGACTGCTTCCCTGTTGAAAGTTAAGCCCAAATCTTTGAACTGGCATAGTCAATGAGATTGTCGTAAGACTTCTCGATGAAAGCCGTGTTGCAGCACTCGGCTGTGTCTTCACGTTACAAGGATTAAAATATTATGCATTATTATCCTACCTAACTGTAAAGGCTTTAAACTGCAGACCAAGTTGGTGGGTGGTTGGTGGGTGCTTCGGTGTGGTTTCCTTCTTCTTTCCCATCAAACATCTATAGTACTCTTCTCTACTCCTTCTTGGTTTGTATTTGTTTCTCTCTTCTAACACCTCTAATCTTCGGGACTTGTATTATGACCCACCAAACTCTTACAAAAACTAAACCAAAAACCAAATTGTAGATAATCTCTCTGCACACTCATTGGGTACCTGGCGTGTCAAATCGTGCAAAATATAACCTCAATTTTGAGTAGTTGGACTTTCCCTTCTTTTCTTGTTGCTTTTTAAAAAAAACACCAAAATTGGCACATCAAATTTTGGCGCTAATTCCTAAATTCCACCCTACCCTCACCCGTCTCTTTTTCCCGCCTTCTTCGAGCTTATAAATCCTTTTTGTCATTGACCATGTCCTTTGGAAAACGTACCATCACATCATCAACCTTCGGACATGTAAATTTGATGCTATACTTTTAGCCCATTACGAGTCTGTGCTATGTAAACATTTTTTGTGCAGTATCCATTTGTTCAACAGGTAAACGTGTTAGAAATAATCTTATGCATAGAAGAGAATAATACGTTGCCTGTATACTTAAAAACCAGCCGTGTTACACAAAGTTGTTGGTATATTATCCCCCCCTCCCCCCCCAAAAAAAAAAAAAATAAAATAAAGCATAGGTTTCATGTGGGTTGTTTTAATTGTTGTAAACGTTTCCATTTACATCTGCTGAAATCGAAATAACCACGAGATCATAGTTTTATTACACTTCATCTTATTGTTATTTAGATTGTTTGTTTTATGTGTGAGTGTGTGTGTGTGTGTGTGTGTGTGTGTGCGAGCGCAAGTGTATATGTGTGTATGTGTGTGTGTTTGTTTCTGCGAGTGTGCCTACGTTGATGTGCGTGTGTGAGTGTGTTGGTTGATTCCATATTTCCAAAGACACAACGCTGTTTGTACAGAACCCGTGTGTTCCCTGAGACAGACCTTTTGGCATTGTTTCTTTTCTCTATATTTTGTGTGCATGTTTCAGGTAATACGATTCCAAAACATTTTCTTAATAATAAGGAACGGAAGACAAATAAGTGTAGGATACTCGCGAGCTATCACGACTGCCACTGGATGTGGAAAAGAAAAATTTGTGGTAACAATGATCGAGGATTTTTGCACTCATCGACACAATTTAGATCATTTTGGAGGTTGACTGCCCGCCAACAAAGAGGATAACGGTAAAAGAAGGGAGATAGGCATACTATAACTAATCTATTCCTCTTCATATTATGAGTCACTGCCCTTTGCTTTAAAATGTGTGGCTGCTTTCCGAAGCCAAAGCATAAACACGCATGCCCGCACGCAGGAACGCACGGACGCACGCACGCACGCACGTACGTACGCAAGGACGCATACACACACACACAAACATAAACACACACACATACACACATAGCTAGAGATGCGGAGAGAGAGAGAGAGAGAGAGAGAGAGAGAGAGAGAGAGAGAGAGAGAGAGAGAGGGGGGGACAGAGAGAGAGAGAGACAGAGAGAGAGAGACAAAGAGAGAGAGAGACAGAGAGAGACAGAGAGACACACACACACGCAGAGAGAGAGAGGGAGAGAAAGAGAGAGAGAGAGAGAGAGAGAGAGAGAGAGAGAGAGAGAGAGAGAGAGAGAGAGAGAGAGAGAGAGACACAGAGACACAGAGAAAAAAAAAGAGAAAAATAGAAAGAAAGAGAGAGAGAGAGTGAAAAAGAGAAAGAGAGAAAGAGAGACAGAGAGAGATAGATAAAGAAAAAGAGAGAAAGAATAAGTTGAGGTGGAAAGGCAGAATAGATAGATAGATAGATGGATAGACAGATAGATAGATAGATAGATAGATAGATAGATAGATAGATAGATAGATAGATAGATAGATAGATAGATAGATAGTGTGTGTGTTTGTTGTTGTTGTTGTTGCTGTTGTTGTTGTGTGTGTGTGTGTTTGTGTTTGTGTGTGTGTGGCCTTTCCGCCTAAGAAGAAAACGCGGGCCAAAGAGGTGCGTTAGCGAGGGCTAGTTTGAAGACTGATCTCACCTCAACCACAAGGGACCCGATTTCCTTCCGCACGGGTCGCACCTCACGGTCAACAAGGTGTCCACTTAGTGGGATGAATGACTTCTTGTTTTGCTGCACATGTGGTCAGTGGTGGAAGGAAAGATAGAAGAAGGCAAAAAAAGGAAGGAGAAGAGGAAGAGTGTATTACATATTTTAAAATATATAATGTATCTAGATCTATCAAATAATAAAATATGTTACATAGTAAATATTTAGATATATACAATATTATGCCTACATAAAAGTACAAAAAATACATATCTTCGTATTTATTAGTAATGTGTACTCAACATTAGGACGTCAAAAGAAATTTGTCTGATATTCATTTTTATATCTAATTCCAGTAAATTCTGAAAAAGAGGGTATGGTATTAATTTTGTCATTGAAAAAAGTGACAAATAAACTACAAAGTTCGTCATCTGGTGTTGCAGAGGGGAGAGGAGATATTGTTTCTTTTCCCAGAATAGCATTGGTTGTCTGAATTGTTTGGATGATTTCACTTCTTATATTTCATGTAGATAGTATCTTTTCTTGTTATTTTCGATGACTGAGTTGACTTTGTCTAGGTGGTTAATAAAGATGTCTCTGTGAACTTGAAGTTTCCCCCACCTGCGTTCTGCCTGACGTCGATGTTGCTTGGCGTCTTTCATTTCAAGTGAAAACCACGGAGAAAAGGGTCTCGATGAAATGTTTCTTTTTACCATTGGCGCCTGTTGGTCGATTGCCGCTTTCAGAGTGTCATGAAATGTGTCTGCATTTAGGGATGATAGACTTGCCAGGTCGTCCCGAAGTGCCTGTGTGTCTATTGTTCTCGTGTTTCTTGAAAGTATGCTTCTTCTTACATGTTTTGGTTTGGAGATGTTAATGTCAGCTATCAGAAGAGAATGGTCAGAGATAGCCTTATCTAAAACCTGATGTTTAAGAACATGTGGGTCAGCTATGTTGGTAATTGGCAGGTATAAAATGTGACCACTACGATGTGTCGGCTCCTTGATTAGCTGCTTTAGAGTATGATCGTCCAAAATTGAAACAAGGCGTTTGGTGTCTGGTACAGATGGAACATCAAAGTGAAAGTTGAAATCCCCTATAATGTAAAAGGGGGAGGCAGCTTGCTCTAGTTGAAAGAGTAGATCTTGGAATGCTATGAAGAATTCTTGAATTGTAAATTTATTTTTCTTGTTAGGTGGCGGTCGATAGATACATATCACACGAAAGCAGTGGCTGATTCAAATGTGCGATACGATGGACCATCGCAGATGAACTTTACTGGAAAACCTCGCCGATGAATAAAAGCAATTCCGCCACCACGTGAGCCCGTGAAAAAGATTTAAGTTCAAAGCCGGGTGGTAGAATGTCGGCTATGATAGATTCATCGACATCTGTTCGAAGCCAAGTTTCTGTGAGGCACAATAAGTCCATGTTCATTTCTTCAATTACGTCTCTTACAATGTTTGTTTTGTTGCAGCACGACTGGGTGTTAATACAGCCAATTCTTAAGTTGGGACAGTTATGTTGAAATACATTACGAGTGTCTATCTGTATTAAGTTTTTCTTGTTCACAGTAGTCATAGTTCTATTCTTAGAAACAGTGTCACGAGGAATCCCCTGACATACCATAATTTTTCTCTGTTTCCTTGTCCCACCTCTTGTACCCCTCTTATCTCTCTTCACTACCTTTGATTGACAGACACAGCTGTTTCTAACTCCTAACTTGGTCAAAGTAGTTAGCACATTTGAGGGTACACTCAGACTTGGATTGTTAACGTTTAACAGCTGATCTTTTGTATACTTAGTTGTTTTCCCTGTTTGGTTCAGTGCGCAAGGGTGAGACACAGTGAAAATCCGGATATGGTTGTATGATCTAGAGTTCACAACAAAACTGTAAACATGGCCAAAATAGTTCAATAGGGCCAAGGTAAGAATTAAAAGTTCCATGGCTAATATTAGACTAGATCTTGTCTTTATATCCAATATTTTTACACCACTAGATGAAGCAAATCAAGGGCTTTCACATGATATTAAATTCATAGAAAACACAAGTCATAAACCTGAGAAATGGCGAAAAAAATGCATAGAGCTGTTTCAGCAGCCTGCTAGTCGCTTGAACACAACTCCCTTTTTCAGCTATGTCCCCATTTTTTTGTAGCATGGCGCTCTAGTTCGCATTAGGAATATTTTTAAAAATCCCAACGATTGAGCCATATTGTATACTACAGAAGTCTAACCGGTCAACAGAAGTTTGTATGTAGTTTTTCTCAAGTTTCTTTTGTCTGCTATGATCAAAACT